CCGCCACCGCGCTGTCCCCGCGGCCCCACCGGTGACTCTGCTCTTCCGAGCCCTGCCTGCGCTGAGTATCCCTGACAGCCCATCGGCCGCGGGCAGCTCCGCTTACCTTCTCGGTCTACAGTGCCTCCCCCCCCCGATGCCGCTGCCTTAGTCACTTTCTTAACCCCGGCCAGAACCGCTCCCGCCGCCCGCCMGGATTGAATTTTGGCGCCCAATGCCGCCGCCGTTAGGGGAGGTGCCTGATGGCGGCCGCCCCCGCCCCGCTTGCCCGGCCCGCCCTTCCTGAAGGGAGAGGGGCGATGCAGGGCTYCTGCCACCTCCTCCCGGCACAGGGGTGGGCACGGTCGGAACGGGGCCCGAAGGAACGGTGCTTCTCCCCCCCGGGCAGGCAGGCAGGCACTGCGGGCRTGGCTGGGGAAGGGCTCCTCCGGCTCTGAGGGGGCGGGACCCGGCGGAAAATGGCGCGGACGGCACCGTGAGGGAGGGCGGGCGGAGGCCGGAGGAGATGGGGGCGGGCGAGAAGGCACTGSGGCGTTTGTGTGGGGTTCTGTAGCGGGGCTGAGCAGCTTGAGGGTTAGCTCCAGACTGCGGCATGCGATGTGTGTACCGCCCTGAAATTATATTAAAATGAAGGAAGTACGGTTCTATACGTATGTTCCTACTATAACGTCACACGCCACACCTCCCATTTAAAAAAAGAAAAAAAAAACCCGCCATCTATGCCTGATCAAATCTGTTGCTATGATTTACATAGACGTGTTTCCCATTCATGCAGAATAAGGAGAACTTGTTCAAACTTTGTGCCACTGAAAGAACAGTATTTGTCTATTTATTGCTGCACTGGTTCAAAGCRGGAAAGGAAAGTCGGCTGGATGGATCATTTACTCATTCCTGAGCCTGCTTTAGTCGTGCTATGTAATAGACCAGGATTTTGTAGGAGGGCTCAAGTCTTGAACTGTTAGCCTGGACAATGTTACCGCTGAGGTTTGCTGTAAAACTTGGTGTCCTGAGCTGCTGAATTTGAAGTTCTTTTCGTAATTTGAAATAATTCAGACTGTAATTCTACATTACTTTAGGGGAGAAAAAATAGAATGTATTTGCTTGCTTCAGTAATTACATTGGATGCAGCTGTTTACTATGACTGTACTGCTGCTGGAAGTACTGCAGCCAGAAGCTCTTGATGGTCTCTTTCCTGCTGTTCAGTTTCTTGCATCTGGACACCATTCTGGGAGAAATTACTTTGAAGTATGGACAAGAATCATGTTGATACTATGTAACTATACAGCCATCACTAAATGCGGCTCTTTATTTGGCAGATGGAAAATGTCCCAAAATTATTTTTGAATCTGCCATCTGTGACAAACGTGCTTGAGTATTTCTTGCCTTCAGAAGGGTTCCTGGTTCGCTTCTGTTAGAGGTTGCTGCTTGGACTATACTGAAGGTGGTGCCTGGTTGTTCTTCAAATGCCAAAATCATTGTCAGTGTGTGGCTGATGGAACTGGCAGATGGGTAGCTAGTGCTGTACCTGCTCCAGCTGCYCCTTTCCCATCCCGACTAACTGCAGCCTGAAATAAGGAAATGGAAATAAAGCARAACTAGTTCTGATGTGAGAGGCTTCCTGCTACAAAGATAACCAGGTTTGTTCGCTATTTAGATATGACATGAGGAAAAAAAATAATTTCTTAAGTATTAAGAATAAATTCTTAAGTAGTTCTGTAATAGCTTTAACCCTATAAGCCTTAAACGTGAGTGCTTCATTTTAAGAAATACAAAATTCCATTGCAGCTACTTAACATGCAGCTAGCACTTTGGAATGAATGTAACACATAGTTTGAGGAAGGAAAATTTTTTTTTCAGCTGCCTGTCTAGGAGGGACTTTGTTCTTGTTATAATAACTTTATAGCGAATTTTATGGAAGCAAACTTMCAACTCTTCAGGGAGGTAGTCAGAACCCTCTGGAAAACTTCCCTTTTAGACAAGGAAGTGGAACAGAGGTGTATTTTTGGTGTTACAGAACGTATTTTTAAGGACACCTTCCATAGAGCAGAAGAGRTAAGAGATCACCAAACACAAGATACTGAGCAAGGAAGGCAAGAAGCCAGCATAGATGAGTAGGGAACTGCTTGTCAAACTAACAGGCAAAAAGGAAGTGCAGTGGAAGCAGGGACAGTATTCTGGGAAGAATATAGAGTCTGATTGTGAAGGGATGGGCTGAGGAAGGTGAAGGTGCATCTGGAGCTGAACTTGACAAGGAGGGCAAAGAATAACAAGAAGGGGTTTTACAGATGTATTACCCAGACAGGAAAAGTGAAAGAAAATGTATGCACACATACCACCGTGGCAAATGCAAGGCTGGCAAACAGGTAGCGGTAGACAAGAAGGCTGAGGTACTCAACAGGTTTTTGCCTTGGTCTGCAATGGGAAACACCCCTCTTTCCACACCCCTCAAGCAGATGGACAGCAGGGTGGGGACTAGAGTAGCGAAGTGCTTCCCACGGTAAGTGCAGGTCTAGTGGCAGGGTTGTGTCTGTGAAAAATGCCTTGCTAGGGGTCCCAATGTCATGACAAAGGAGTAATCCTGGAGTGACATGCAGCCCCTGACAAATTTGCCTTTTGCCATTGATCAACACTCTGACTGAGGTATTTCCGATGGTCTGTAAATGTAAGCCCTACCGCAGAGACAAATTGGTGAGTTAAACTGGTCCCAAAATTGGAGGATTGTCCACAGCAGAACAAAGTCCAGTTGGCTATCTGTTACTAGCCATAATTTTTGATGTCCTTATAAATGACCCAGACAGTCATGACCTGGAAGGGCAGAATCTTTCTGAACTTGGACCCAGCTGCATCCAGAGTTTGCAGTCCCCCAGTAGAAGAAAGTCACTGATATGCAYGAACAAATCCAGTGTGGGGTCACCAAGATGATGAAGGGACTGGAAAAAGTATCAGACAAGGAAAACCAAGAGAGAAATGGCTTGCTTTGGTGTCCAGAAACAAAAGCTATTGCAAGATCTGCTGCCTTGTGCAGCTGCAAGACGGTATCGAGAGATTGGAAATGAAAGGAATGAGAAGGTAGTGTCTTTACAAACAGACTGTGGCTCGGGTGAGRTAAGGCTGATATTGGGAGATAGAAAGAAACAATAGGAAGGATTTGCATAGGAATTCTACTGATTGGCTTACCCCRGTCTATGTTAATAGACTACCTGAGCAGAGACACAGAGATGTATATTGAAAGGGGGCAATGTATGATAGAAGGGGGGTTTCATCAGGTGTTTCGGGGAGCCTGAAACTTTCAAGTTAACAGCCAATGGGGAAAGAGAGAGGGGACTGCGGCCGGGAAATTGGGATAAAAGGAGGCTGCRTCCTCTATGAATTTGAGAGACCCCATGGGAAATGCCCATGACCTCTCCCTTTATTCATGAATAAAGTTGCGGGACTCCTCTGTCTCCTTTTTGGACATAAATCTCTGGTGCTTGTGGATTAATTTTCCTAACAGAAACAAGCTAATCTGAGGGGACTGTAGTGACATGGTAAGAGGTAATGGATCTAGTTTGCAAAACAGTGTTGGTGTTTTCCAGTGCACATGGAGAGTTGTGTGATTTCCTCCTGCCAAATGATGGCAAGGTCAGATATTGAAACAGGTTGMCTGAAGAGATTGTGAAATCTTGATCTTTCAAAAGTAGTATAGCTTCACATGTGTGTGTACAATCTAATCAGTACTGATCACTGATCTGTGCTTCCACTCCTAAATTCTGTTTCCTTAGACACTTGTTGACATACCTCTTTTTTTCCTTCATGTCCCTTTAATTTTTCATTTATCCATCTCAGTCTCCTTGATTTTACAAGGTAACATATAAGAGATAAGAGGTATGTCTTGTATATGCTAAGCAGGCTGGAGAAGCGAGTTTCCATCTTGAGTCGGTTGTGCATGTTACAAGCAGGAACTTGTTCAAGGGTGAAACTATGCTTGCAATATTACAGAAATTCAGGAGAGGGCCTCAGAGAGATCTCCAGTGCTTGAAAGCACCAGCTTGAAGTTTGTCACTTCCCTTCTGAGTTCACTTAGTACAGTATGCTGCAAGAGATGTGTACKCTGCAAAGGTTTAACCTCTGTAGAAATGTAAGGTTTTAAAAACTCAGTTTTCTTTGACTGCTATAAAATCAAGCAAATTAAATGTTTCTCTCTGTGCAATAACAGGCCTGTCTCTGCAAATCCAAGAAGTGAAACTGGGCTGTAGGATGTCTCTACATCTTGGTGAAATTTTACATTTACTGATGTTGCAACAAGTGTTTGTCCTGTAGCAACATTTAAGTAAAGGAGAAGTAAAAAAAAAGTGTCTGAAAGAAGTTTAGGAGTGCTGTGCAGTGACTGAGAAGGCATAGCTGGCCTTTCAAGAAGCTTTAGCATTATCAGCAGACATCACCTGCCATGGCCCATGGAACCACAGACTTGCTGAACTTGGAAAAAGTCCTTTAAGATCATCAAGTCCAACTGAGCCCTKCCATGTTCACCAGTAGACCATGTCCTCAGGTACCATATCCATGTTTTTTGAACACTTCCARGTGTGGTGATTGCACCAGCTCCCTGGGCAGGATGTTCCAATGCATTACAGCTCTCTCCGTAAAAAAAACATTTTCATAGGACCTATACTAAATGTCCCCTGGATCAGATTAAGCTCATTCCTCTTATCCTGTCCCTTGTTAYTTGGAGACTGGCGCTCACTTGTTTACAGCCTCCTTTCAGATAGCTTTAAAGAGTGATAAGGTCTTACTTTATGTGCAATTTCTGARATCTGAAGGTAGCTGACCTATTTCCCTGATGGTGTTGGCTTCCCTTTTTACTTCCCTCTGTGAACTTGCTCTTTTGAACCTCTGTTGGAATTATAACTTTAGAATTACAACTTGTAACAAAGTGCAGGGTGGCACAGTCTTTTAGCAGCTTGATGACTAGTCACCTCCAATCTCTGACCTTTTTTCAGAACTAGGCAGTATTGCATAAGGAAGTGAAGTTGCAGCTTTATTGTTTCATAATGCAGTGTCATGCTTGCTTGGATATTTCCAATACAGTCTCTAATGAAAGGAATGCTKTGCCTTTACTTTGTTTTTACCCTAGGAAAAAAAAACAAAAAACATTGAGAAAGCTTTGTAAGAATTAAGCCAGAGGGAGGGAACAGGTAATTTTTGCTCAGACTTGTAGGCAGATAGGATTTGAGGCCATATTCACTCACARGTAATTGTAATCCTTGTATCTGTATGGGAAATCCTGAGATAGCCTCTGGATTGTTACTCCCTCGGCAGTATCTACTGCCAGGAGGTCCTTTTATGTTTGTTGGGGAGTTTTTGTAGGATGTTGGGGTTTTTTAAGGTATTTATCCCTTATGCTGCTTCCTGGCAGTTTGTTTTGAAATACTGCAGAAGACTAGTAAATTAGATATGAGGGAAGAAAAYAGATGAGATGATGATTACCTGAAAAACTTTGCTCTTGTGCTGATGAGTGAATTTCTCCTCAGCACACATCTGCAAACTAATTATATCTGAGAGATACACTTTACTTAGCTTTTAATCATACCTGTTTGTTCCAATAGGGTGTGAGCCTATGTAACTGCTTCAGAATGAAAATAAAAGGAAAAGTACCACAATCATGTCTGCAAATTGTGACTGTCAGGAAGATGAACTATTAAGCTAACTGAAAATTGAATTGAACTAATTTGTAACTGACAGGCTTCTAAGAGGATTTTTTTCCTCAAGGTTAGATTTGGGCAAGTCCAGGCTAGGAAACCATARCACATCAGTCAGGAATAACAGCTGAGGTTACTTAAGAGAAGCATACTTTTCTRTTTTGACTCATGCTTTCTTGAGAACTTTACTGCTTTTCTTCTTTAACATGAAGATTCCCAGATTTCAGGTATCACCACTAGCTCTTCAGCCTCCAGTCAACCTATTTCAATTTTCTTAAACTTGTCTCTTTTATTCCTGACCTTATTTTCTAGTTGCTAGTATATTTTATGKAATTCCAGTTTTCACCTCTCCCTTCTTCTCTCCCATTTTCTGCTCAATTGTGAACCTCCTTACCCATGCTGATTTTAGGGACTAAGCTGTGTGAAGGGTGCTTTGCTTTCAGCTCACTACAGGTTGCAGCACCTGCAGTGTCTGAACATAAATGGGATCTTTGCTTTTTAACTTATATTGTTGATGCAAAAAGCCAAGATTTTCCAATCCTTTACTTCTTTCCTAGACAGTCTTTATTTGACAATTTGGTGGGATAGATCAAAGGGCAAGGAGGGTTTGAAGGACATCAGAATAAATGCTGTCATTGACCTMAATTTCAGCAAAGGCTTTGATTATTCTCTTGTGTGAAAATCAAGTGGAAATGCATCACCTTTTTTAAAAAGCATTTCTATCACTGTCATGGACTGTTCTTTCTCAAATGATGTAGCAATCTCTTTACTATAATGATTATAATGGTCTATAAAACACTTTATACAGAAAACACACAGAAGTGAAACAAAGAGTTTTAACAGTAAAAAGCTGTTAGATGAACTTTCCTAATAGCAATTTTGAGTCAAAATTKGGAACATATTGGGAATTTACCATAGACATGTTCAAAGAAGCAATAATTTTCAGGCATTTGTACACACTATAACATACAAGTTTTTTTACAGACAGTCCCAAAAATCTGCCTAATTTATTGCATCATGGTACAGGAGTTTTGTTTCTTTTTACTACTACCAGAACATTTAATCTATCGTTGTTTAATAGATAACCCAAGTTTTATCCAACTAAACAGTGCTTTATTAATTTGCTGTCCTGGTTAGACAATTACTATTGATTGAGTTTTCTGGGGTATACTGGATTATAGCTCCCTTACTTCACCAGCAATGCATTAATCAAGTTTTCTGGGGTGTATAGGCCTTTGACTCCTTGACTCACTCGAGATATGTTTCTTGTTCTAGTACATCTAATTAATCTCTAGTTATATGATAACCATTAAATTATTCTTTATTGAATTTCGTTATTTAACTATTGACTAAGTTCTGTATGGGGTATGGRTCCATGGAGTTCCTTTCTCCAGGTGCAGTGAGGTAATTTCTCAGGGTTTTCTACTGACGCTCAAGACAACACAGATCTAAATCAACACCAGCTAAAATCACAATCAAACATTTTTAAACTAATTAAATGTAGTTCATTACAAAATTTTTAAAGAGTCAYGAAACTTCTGGCTAACTAAGATATAACTCACTGTCAAAAGAAATGTGTTGTTCAAACCTACTGACACTGAAAACAAAGTAGGTTTACAGTTTACAAGAACAGGTTAATGTTCTTAGAGCTCAGATTGTGGCTATGACATGCTTAGTCCAGTAAGTTTTAACTGGACCCCGTAAGTGCTGCATTACTGCTATTTATCCCTTGGAGTTATTTAATATGCTTAAGCAATGTAGTCCTTACCATTTCTTATGATTTTATATCTAAACATACAAAATAATCTTGGTTTGTTTATCTGGAAATTGGTTTGTTGATCCATTAGTCAAGTACGTGTCAGTGTTCTGTTTTCTGTTTGATTKGGGGCTTTTTGTTTTATAAGCTACAGAAACAGCTCCTAGCTTTGAAATGGCTATAATGATGTGATTTCAGTAGAAAAGGAGAAATGGATAGCAAAAAAATTRTCCCGTTTCCAAAATTAGGCCTAAATATAATAAAAAATGGTTCMGTGAAATTAATCTTTCAATATTCCTAGGTAGGATAGTTGTTCTGTTGAAAAAAATCCATGTCTTAAAAACTACAGAGAATTTTGGTAGGATGTAAGGATTCGTGTGAATGGGAGGTCTGAGAATGGGAGCACCTGGAGAAACAACAGAAGAGACACAGAAATGGCCAGCAGTGATGACACATTTGCAGATCATCGTGATTACAGCACAAAACAAAGGACAGCCTGAAGCAAGTATCRGGTTCCCTTATTCAGACATGAGGACTCAAGCTATTAAGTTATGATGATGGGAAAGTAAAGAACAGGGCTGGAGCCATGGATGCACTTAGACAAAAGAGAAAAAAAGCAGGAAGTCAGTATTGATGATTCACAGGATGGGACAGGACAGGAGATAAAGCATTTCTGAATCTCTTTTGGCTCCCCGGGGATACAAATGGCATGAGCGAATGGCTGCCAGCCTAGCCAGTGTCCCTTGACTCTCCTCACTCCTGGCTGGAGCACTTTGGTACCTCTCTGAATGCAGGACACACAGGTGGGACAAATCCCTCTCAGTGCCTGTGGGATCAGTTTTTTCTAAACTCACCTTTTGCTCCTGTAAACCTAATTTCTGGCTTTGCYTTGTTGTTGCTGCAGTGTCATGGTATCTTTTGTTACAGCCAAACACTGTTGATGCCAAAGCAAATACATACAGCAGCAGATACATATGCTGGCTTTGGCTGCCTACTTACCGTCTGTGGGATGCTTTGACGTTGATTTTGATGATACTTTTTTCATTTTGTAAAAGGTGATTTCCCCAACACGCTTCTGGTGCAGGAAACCTTCACTTGTGTTTCTTTGTCAYAGAGGAACATGGCATATCTCTGTTCCATCACAGAACTCAACAGAAAGTTGTTGAGTGCTGATTAGTTTCTGATTTGCTGACTTACTCTTTTATCGAAATAATGGAGAGCTTGCCCTGTTCTCCCTGATCCTTACATGTGCATCTTTAATAAACACCTTTTGCTTTTTTTTTCTTTCTCAGGTCCTTATTACTAATTAGTGCTTCTGTCTTCAAATGTTTTGTAGTTGAATGTGTTGCTATATATTGGTTTCTTTACAACTTTCAACCTTCATATTTTATTTGTGTTTTCACAAGAACAAAAGCTGAAGACGGTACGCTGGACGAAGTTTTCTCCCCTGCTGCACACCTCATTGCAACACAGCTGGGGCAAAACGCCAAAGTTTCCTGTTGTTTCGTAAGGTGACTTGTTGATAAGGGCTTAGCTACACAAGCTGTGATCCTTGTGCTGGGAATGGCAAACACGCCAGAGCACGCGCTRTGAGTGGCAAATGTATGGGCCATTTGCTGTGTTAAATGATGAATTTAACAATGAAACGGACATTAATTTTTAGTTAAGTATTTTTCCCCAGAGGCAGAACTGAGTTTCAGGGCTGGACGAGTAAAATGTGAAATGAGGAAGCTCCTGTTGTGGTGGATAGTCTTGGTCTCCAGACTGCAATGTTTTGTGGTTTCTAGAACCATGGAGTTTGTGCATTTAGCTTTGCGTGCCTGACAACGTGCCCGAGCAACTGGCTGGGCATTGAATTGGGAAGGGTCTGAAGGGTTGATCTCAAATCTTAATAGGACGAAGGTGAATCACAGTGGGTGTGTCTACCCAGGGTTTACACTTACTCCGGGGGATGTGTACTGAGGGCGGGACCTGCTCTGCCCACAAAGGCAGACATTTTTGCCTTTTATAAGTGCGTGCAACTGAAGGAGTCCAGCCACTGACTGAGTGGGACCCAGGTTATTGACTCATCAGCAGAAGACGGTTTTCCATCTGCCTGCTCTAAGTATAAGCTTGTCTTTCTTTGTCATTGTTGATGCACTTGGGTGTAAGAAGGGAAAAGGACCTCTGAGGATAGAATTAATGCAAGTCATGTGTTTCTGTCTTGTACGGAAAATGCTGGTAACAATGTGCTCCCCATTCCAAGCTTTGAGCTTGGCAACTGGAGTAGCGTTTTCTGTCAGTATGATGACTGACACAGAAAAAGGTCTTGCTTACCGTTTTTTTTCTCACTTGCACTTTGTTTCAAGCTTATGAAAGTTTTGGTTCAGCAGACATCCCAGGTAATGGGGGCAAAAGTCTTACA